TGGCACCCTTCACCAACAGCTGAGATAGCCATAAGTGCTGCATGTCTGAATAATAAAAAATATATTTTTGTATACACAATAGATAAGGATAAAGATATAAAATTTTATTATTTAACAAATATTTAAAAAGCTGTATGTTTTTGTAATTATAGCAGTCATATCGTACAACTGCCAATTCTCATTTTAAACATCCAATGAGAGTCTCAGACCAACTGCCAAAACGGCAGCTGGGAAAGAGAATTATCTCATTCGTTATTCTATCACAGACGTAACGCAATTACATAAAAGTATGTAACTGCTGACTTTTCTGTGAATACGTTCATAAATATCATATATATAAATTATAACTAAATATATCAAAAATAAAGATTGTTTACCTATACTTCCAATCATTGTTATTTAACATTGTAGGGATATTTTGCACAATTTGTGGTAGCATAGTCTTCCCTCCCAGGCCACACGCCAATCTATCTAAAGCACTTTCCGCAACTACAGTGTTGCTATCGTTATCTTCCTCGATAATTTCATCAGAGAAACTCCATTTTTCATCTTCTTCCAAATCAGTCATCATCTTCAATACCAATGGTACTAAAGATACAATGTATTTTTCACCAACTTTGCGTACCATAGCTGGTGCAGTCTCTGCTAGAGTTACCAAAACTTCTAGTGCCAATTGCCTCCAAGAGTCAGGCATCTCTTCATTGGAGAATACATTCATGCACATTTGCATAACATTGTCTAATTGTCCCCTGAGGAATTTTGGCGTGGTTTCAGCAAGGTCTATCAACACTTTTATAAGAGCATCATCATCTTGCTTTTCTATAGATTGGGCGGTTACTTGTACAAGCGCTGGAACTAGTTCTGAGAAATGCTTGTGTATATTTTCTTCTTTGTCATGTAATGTTATAAACGCTCCAATTGCTCTTACTGCTTGAAACCTGACCTGTGTGACAAGAACAATTGCAATTATTACAATTACTCTTATAGAAAACTTGATAATTAAAAAAAAAATTTTTGTTTAGGACGTCAACACAAATGTAACTATTCCATATAAAATGTATGCCCCGTATCTGTCTGTAAATTAATACTTCACAAGTTACAGTCATCAGAAGGCATATATTTTTTTTGGAGAAATTATGTGACGAGTAATCTCATCTTGTCGAGACTCGCGTATCTATCTCCTGTTAGACTAAATAAAAGTACGAAAAATAAATGAGTACGCAAATTTCACATTACCTCATAATTTGTAGGGTCCAAAACAGATTGTTGTAACATTTGTTTTATAAGATCGAGATGATTTGCTTGTTGATTTCCAAATACGCCTGGGACGGATCTGCATGCACATTTAATACGCTTTACTCTCATATTCTTAATAAATACCCCACTCATACAAGATAAATATAAAAAAAAAACTCACGTAAACATACGAAGCGCGCTCTCTTTTAATGCCGGCAACGGACTATTCGCGCATTGAAATAGGAACTGAAGAAACTCCGGCCACTGATTATTACCATCTTCGTCTATTAAATTCCTGGCAACTTCGGCTGCAACGTCGCAAACTTTACGTCGGATACTTTCGGTTTGTTCGGTTTGGACTGATAGTAAAATTTGTTCTTTCAATTGGATTTGCGCCTCCGGTGGAATCTGTGAAATAATTGCATATCAAATTTATCTTTAACTGACCTTTGATTCAAACGTAGATGATTATTAAGTTAATTTCTCGATAAGAAGCGTTTAAGAAACAAAGTAGCAATAATGCTAAATTGAAAAAAAACTTATTTTAAGAAAGATATTTTATGTAGCAACTGGAAATTAAGGAAAGGAGCTTTTTAGGACTACCTTAGGATAAAAGTCCAGAAATTCTGAAGAGAATAACCGACGCAACAGCACTGCGGCTATGGCCCGCATCTCTTCTGCAAGCGTGCCATTGCAAACGGTAGTTAACAGAAACGTCACCTTGCTTTCCACTGGAAGATTTCCATACGCCTCCTAAATAATTTCAATTTCTCATTAAAAATATCGTTGATTATTTAAGATCTTTGTTAAATTCCCAATGACATAATATAAGCTTTCTAATCAAATAATACAATTCCTTTAGAAAGTTAAGCTATAAAGTTTCTTTATTCAAAATTTCCTACAAATTTATATTTATCTAAAAAGCATCAATTTTTCCTTTGAAGAATGAAACACATAATTTTCTATAAGAAAAATCAAATTTTACAAAAGTGCAAAAGAAGAAGCGACATGATAGAAAATTGTAAAGTCATTGTAATGTCTTTATCCTGTTGTTATACATTATACGTTATATACAAAGCAATGTGCAATGAATATATCTACAGATATTTATCTTCATAGATGCCAAAATCCAAGCTCTCTCTCTCTTTCAGTCTCTCTCTCTCTCTCTCCCTCTCTCCTGAACTAAATTTACCAAGCT